ACATACTTTTCTATGATTCTCCAATGTTGTCAACCACACTGCTTAAAAACTGCTCTTGTGACCCAGAAAATAATAAAACATTAAACACTGCTTGTTTTTTCTCTCTCTCTTTCCATGGCGGAAATTAGGAGCACAAATGAGCCTGCAGCTATAACACGAACAGGAACACACATGAATTCACATCGGAATTCTTTTGCTGCCAAAACCTCTCTGCTTCACTACCATGACATAGTCAGTAGAAGGCAGGCAGGAAAGCAAGCACACACACACACACAAACACACACAACACACACACACACACACACACACACACACACACACACACAAATCATCATTTAATTGTTATATAATACTCTAACCACTGACCTGAGTGCAGTTTCAAACTACGATACTTTTATAGATATAACATTATTTTGTTTTCTGTTGTTTATATCATTATCTCTCTTTTTTTTTACTGTTGTATGTCCTGAGCATTTGTGTCTTGATGCTGCTTTAATTCCACTGCTAATTTCAAAAAACAATATTATATATGAGAAAGAAAGAAAGAAAGAAAGAAAGAAAGAGAGGCCCAGCTGATTTTATACAATAGCTGAGCTTTTTAAAAGGAATCATCCTCCATTATGACCACCTGGGCACCCTGGTGGTCATAATGTTATGCAGCCTCATACACAACAAACTGTGACGCACTGTGTGTTCTGACACCTTTCTATGAGAACCAGAATTAACCTTTTCAGCAGTTTGAGCTACAGTAGCTTGTCTGTTGGATCAGGCCCCCAGGGGCCGGTCTCCCCCCCCCCCGTACATCAGTGAGCCTTGACTGCCCATGACTTTGTCTCCAGTTCACCGCTTTTTCTTCCTTGGATTTTTGTACCCACTTTTGATAGGGCACTGACCACTGCAGACCAGGAACACCCCACTAGAGCTGCAGTTTTGGAGACACTTTTGACCAAGTCATCTAATCATAACAATTTGGCCCTTGTCTGTTGGATCAGACCACATGGGGCCGTCCTTTCTCCCTACGTAAATAAGGGAGCCTTAACTCCCATTTTTTTTGTCTCCAGTTCACCGCTTTTTCTTCCTTGGACCACTTTTGATAGGTACTGACCACTGCAGACCAGGAACACCCCACTAGAGCTGCAGTTTTGGAGACACTTTGACCAAGTCATCTAATCATAACAATTTGGCCCTTGTCAAAGTTGCTCAAATCCTCACGCTGCCCATTTTTTCTGCTTCTAACACATCAACAAAATGTTAACTTGCTGCCTAATATATCCCACCCACTGTCAGGTGCCATGATAACCAGATAATCAGTGTTCACCAGTCAGTGCTCATAATGTTATGGCTGATCAGTGTAAGTACTTTGTATCATTGAATCGTACACATTTGAGGGCCAGAGCAGAGATGTAAGAAGAGAGGATGTTTAGTTTTATTTAACATCAAGTTTATTTTTCATCTGTATACAGTCGTAGTCTGTTTACATACTGTTCAATTAATAGCAGTGCAAAGCTCTTATTATGTCTCTATCACACCACAAATCGTGTTATTTTTTGAGATCATAAAGTAGCATTATCAAAACTTGGCTGCAGTGTACTCCACTAAAAAATGGACAATAATTAAAAGTATGAAGGCTGTTATACACAAATACATAAACAGAGGCAAAAACAAATATGCCACGACCAAGGCCAACAAAAGATAAATAGCTAGGACTACATTTCCTCAACTGCGTTACTGTCAGAAGATACAGTGAGAGTAGCCAGAAAAGTCCACCATGCATTTCAAATGAAGGAAATGAGACACATTAACCATATTAAATGTATTTATATCCCTCTCACAAAGGAAACATATTCCCGAAGATAGATAAGATTGTCTGTATGTTCAAGCTGGGGTCGTGGAGGGGATGAGGTTTAGGTTATATGCAAAGAGAACATTACAAAACATTGATTGACATGCACAAGTACTCCTGTAGAAAAATGTTGACTTTTTAAATATACATTGTCACAATATGTATTTTTCCAGTAATTCTATACAACCAGGACAAAAACGAATGTAATTATGAAATATTTGAAAGTCAGAGGGTCCAAATAAATTCACTGCACGGGGATTATTTTACAACATGTGTTTACACTATATTATGGCAGATTTTCATTTGACCAGATATACGGTGCGCCTACCCTTACCTTCAGAGTAGCTCTATCTGTACTAGCGCGCCTTAGGGTGCTTTTTTGATAAGCTGCGCTTCTTTTCTTTAGTGTGTCAGTGTCTGTGTTTGAGCTGAAGCGAAAATCGCCTCTCCACGACCCAGTGGTTAAGAATGAATCGTACCGCTCATCTTTCAGCAGCGTCCCACAACGGCTTATATCTGTAAAACTAGGGGTGCAGTAGGCCGTGGGGAAAACGGGGAGACTAGCGGCGGTTGAACGGTAAACATAATCACGCCGGCAGAGCTTAAAATAAAACACTCCACTGACTAAAAGGATGAAAAGAATGGAAACGCCAGCCAGAGCGATAATCAAATAGAGCGTTAAGTTATCGTTGTCCTGTGATTCGTCAGCAAACTCAAAGAGTTCGTTTAAAACAGGCAGCCCGTCTCCAATTGCTATACTGACTGTAACAGTGGCGGAGAGAGACTCGGGCCCGTTATCTGTTACTAAAACTGTAACAGTTTGTTTCGGTTCATCGTCCTCCATGAATGCTCGCACAGTCCTGATTTCTCCTGTATGCAGACCGACAATAAACAGGTTAGGCCGCGTTGCTGTGATTATTCTGTAGGAAAGCCAGGCGTTATGCCCAGAGTCGGCGTCCACAGCTACCACCTTAGTAACCAGGTAACCTCTAGGTGCTTCAACTGGCACCATATCTTCAGCAATGAACCCTGTGGTTTGGACAGGATATAGGACGACAGGTGTATTGTCATTTTGGTCCTTAATAAAAACGTTTACAGTGCAGGTGGTGGAGAGTGGAGGGTCGCCTCCATCTCGAGCTGTCACCTTAATCTGGAAGTGGACTAACTGTTCGTAATCAAACAGGCGTGATGTGAAGAGCTCCCCCGTTTCTGAGTTTATGGTAAGGAAGGAGGACACTTCTGAGTTTGTGTCCCTTGATATTTGGTACAGTATTTTAGAGTTAGACCCGTCATCAATGTCCTCTGCGTTCACTTTCATCACAAACGTGCCAACAGGTTGGTTTTCCAAGATGTTGGCATCGTACTTGCTCTGCTTAAAAGTCGGAGGGTTATCATTTATATCATTAACCATTATTGTTAAAACCTTTACACTAGAGAGTGAGGGAGAACCCGCATCAGTGGCAGTAATTGTGATGTTATACTCTGGTTGAAATTCTCGGTCTAGTATCCCGTCAGTCACCAACATGTAATAGTTTTTGACCTCTGATACAAATTTAAACGGAACATTGTCTGAGATTGTACAGGTGACGCGCCCACTACTCCCAGTGTCCAGGTCATAAACATTCATCAGAGCAACCATAGTTCCTGGTTTGGAGTCTTCGGCCACGTTAGGAGAGGCTGACTTTATCTCTATGACAGGTTTATTGTCGTTTACGTCGATGATGTCAACTATAAGCTTGCAGTGAGAGGCCTGACCACCACCATCTTTAGCCTGAACATCCAGCTCGTGCGTACTAGCCTCTTCATAGTCAATAAGACCCGCCACCCGAACTTCTCCACTCAGGGGGTTAATTTCAATAACTCCCCCCATCTTGTCTGACAGGTGACTGAAAGAGTATGTAATGTCTCCATAAACACCTTCGTCTAAGTCCGTGGCATTCAGCGTTGCTATGGCAGTCCCTATGGCCGAGTTCTCTGGCACAGAAGCTTTGTAAACTCGCTGGCTAAAAACTGGGACATTATCATTGGCGTCCAAAACACGGACGTGGATAGAAGCAGTTCCTGATCTGACTGGATTTCCCCCGTCAATTCCATTGATTTTCAGTACATGTTCAGCTTTTGCCTCCCGGTCCAAGGGTTTTTTCAGAACTAGTTCCAGATAAGCATTGCCGTTTATTTGGGTGCTCATTTCCAGTGCAAAGTGATCATTGGGGCTCAGTTTATATTCACGGACCGAGTTGGTTCCCAGATCTGGGTCATGCGCGCTCTCCAAGGGAAAGCGTCTCCCCAGAACTGTGGATTCGACTAAATCTAGTTGTATTTCCCCTGCAGCAAACACTGGACTGTTGTCATTTATATCTGCAACATCTAAAACTAAGCTGTATGCTTGAAGGGGATCTTCAAGTAGGAGCTGATACTGTAGGGTGCAGACACTGGCTTGCGCGCAGAGCTCCTCTCGGTCTATCCGTTGGCTGATCAAAAGATTGCCTGACGCAGTGTCCAGTTCACACAGCTGGCTAGTTCCTTCTGCAACAACACGGGCTCGACGAGCATCAAGCTCCGTCACTCCCAGCCCCAGATCCCGCGCAACATTCCCGATAACCGACCCCCGTTGCATCTCTTCTCGAAGGATATAACGGACTTCTCCAAACGAAACACAAAAAGGAGGCAAAACCATAAAAATGCAGCCACCATTTGAAGTTACTTCTCTTTTCCATTATTGAAGGTGCCTTCAGAGACAGATGCACTGCCAACGTTATAGTTAAATCCTAAACATAAAAATAGCAACTGAAAATGCAGCTGTAATCCAACGGTTCCCTGCTTCTCTAGCTGAGTTACTCATGCTCTATTAGGGAAGCTGTCCGCTTGGATTCCTCTCTCTCTGTGCCCATTTCACAACTCCTCTCTCTTTCTCTCTCTCTCACTCTGTATGTCTCTCTCACTCTGTATGTCTCTCTCTCTCTCTGTCTCTCTCTCTCTCTCTCTCTCTCACACACACACACACACACACACACACACACACACACACACACAGAGAGAGAGAGAGAGAGAGAGAGAGAGAGAGAGAGAGAGAAACACACAGTCTCTCTCCTCCCTCTCCCTCATATACAACCAAACATGAGCATGCCTACACAGCCCTCGGCTCCAACCCAATGCTCTAGTTCCACTGGCACAGATAGAGTGAGACACGACATAGCATCCATGAGTCAGACATTATAAAAGAGCGTCACCAAGAGACTGGGATGATAATTACAACAGTATATGCTTTAAGAAACATGCATTACATTTGCAGATTTTTTCATATAATTTTTCACTGTGACCAAGATAAGATCAGCCAAAAATCAGACTGTGATAAATTCATATTATAGTAAATTATGCCCTTAATATTTGAACATTTGTGTTTGAAGAAACAGGGAATGGACAGAATAAAATCAACACCTATACAATGTAATGCAATCCTATACAATGTTTTTGCTGTGGATAGCACCTCTGCAAATGTTGCAGTGCTTAATTTTTGTTGATATTCTCAGGGATGTGTTGATAAATCCCTGTGACACAACGATTTAACTTTTCAGTTAACTTAAGTTTGTGGTGCTCTGCACTGTATTACACTGCATAGGGGCTGATCACTACAACACTATATGTTGGCCATGGAAACCTTCAGGTGTTTGGGATCTACAATCTCTCAGCCACATAATCTATAAATTAGGATTTAAATTGTTTTGCTTCAGTTTATTAATCATCATAAGCTCAAGTATGGATCAAAATAAATTCTAATGACCCCCCAAAGTGAAAGATTTGATGTTAGTCACATAAAAAAAAATAATTGGCTAATATTTGTATAATTCATTAATAATACATAGTTTTTATTGTATGTTAGCTGTTTAGACAGGCCATGTAATAATTTGCTTTGGATTTAAGTTACTTTATTCAGATAAATTCTGAACACATTTTATATCAGTTTGGAGAAATGCTGCATGTAGTTTAGTCTAACTTCAACTACCTTAATTTACCTGAGTTACCTAAACAATAAATACTCACTACTCAAATCACACATCTTTCATATATTTGAGTAACTTAAACGGTTTAAGGCAATCGGTTTCCACAAACAGTTTCCTCAACATGAGTTGAACTATGTTGACAGTGTAGTCTACATTATAAACAAGGACGTTACTGCTGATCCACTTCTAAAGAACCATACTGAGTTTGCTCCCTGCATATTAATCCCAGTCTGGTGAACAAAAGTCCAGAATTTGTACACCAGGGAAGTCATTGCACTTGATTCAACTTCTTCCCTGTGGTCTGTGGTACAGAGCACTCTATACCCAAACAACCAACACAAAAACAGCTTCTTTCCACACACCATCACACTCACAATCAAATCCGCCATGCAAAGTCTGTGGCAAACACACCGCCCACAAAATCACCTCACTGATATAAATTGTACAATAACTAGTACATAAGTTCCCCTCATTATGATTGGCAGGTCTGGCTGTATACTGTAGATATACTTTTCAATCAACATGCACATAAAACAAACACTGAATGATGAGTAATGTATTAATCATTGATCATAACATTTTATGGAGCAGAGAGTGGATGTCTGAAGAAGCTGCAGCACTTCTAAGCTTTGTAAAGTTGATCAAATTTGACACTAAAATAAGCATTAGAATTAGTAATTTATGTTGTACATATAAAGATGCTGAGTTGTCTATGTGCAGGTGTGTTTACTCTCAAGCCAAAAACTCAAAGTTTAGGAAACAGATTTTTTATTGGCCAGTTAAAAACTTAGCGATTAATGTACATTGGCAATTTGCATCCAGTACTAATGTTCAGTGCCAATGTAACATTTGTTGGCAGTCACCTCACCTGTATCATAGACAAAAGTTTACTGTATCTCAATCTGTCCTTTTCATAGGCATAAGTGACAAAACATAAATGTCTGCGTTCCTCTATCTACAAATGACATTGAAAAGGTTTTAATGAAATAAAAAAATCAAACACAATAAAATATGAGATACAAAATTTTTCTTTTGATTTCAACATGAGTAAATGATGAAATTAAAGTAATAAAACTCAGTGAGACCAGAAACAGACACCAGGATAGAAAACAGAGGCCATAGTGCCCAAATCAGTGATCAGCACCAAGGACAGATACATTAGTTACAACAGGCACATCAAAGAGGCTTCATATGAACAAATAGGGAAAGCCTTTGTGTGTGTGTGTGTGTGTGTGTGTGTGTGTGTGTGTGTGTGTGTGTGTCTGTGTGTCTGTGTGTGTGTGTGTGTGAGAGAGAGAGAGAGAGAGAGAGAGAGAGAGAGAGAGAGAGAGAGAGAGAGAGAGAGAGAGAGCAGAGAGAGAGAATGTGTGTTTTATATTTTCGACAACAGACTCATCAAATGACACTCATATGAACCCTAACTGCATGTGTCTGTGTGTGTGTGTGTGTGTGTGTGTGTGTCCGTGACAGAGAGAGAGAATATGTGATTCACTAATGTGAATCTGGGAAAAGTGATACAAAACACGTGCCTACCTCAGGAGAACCATTACAGTCCCCAAAAGCATCTACAAAGTCACTTGGACTTTTCCTCAGAGTCTGGTCAGCAGGCAGTGTGTTGTCATTGTAAGATGTTACGAACTTAAAGTCACTGGTTCTAGATCCTGTTGTCAGGTATGCGTCATAATTGTAAGCGCTACGTAAAGTTCCTGTGCCGTCAACATCTGCATAATTAGGAGGGAGATACGCACTAGGGATGGCAACTGCTCCATCAAACAACAGTCTGGGCTTTCTCCTGCGACAAAACCTCACACCCAGGATGATGATGATGAAGGTCAGAAAAAGGGTGGACACAGACACCAGCGCGATGATCAGATAAGAGGTCAGTTTGGAATTCTTCTCATCATAAGAAATATCCTTCAGTTCTGGCACCTCAGCCCAGTTATCAGAAATAAGTAAATACATGGAGCAAGTGGCAGAGAGAGAGGGCTGTCCGTTATCTTTCACTGACACAATAAGGTTCTGTTTCATGCTGTCTGATTCAGAAATGTCCCGCTGTGTCCTGATCTCTCCGCTGTGGAGACCAATAGTGAAAAGTCCCGGATCAGTGGATTTGACTATATGATAGGACAGCCAGGCGTTCTGTCCGGAGTCCGCGTCCACCGCTATCACTTTGGACACCAGAGAACCCTCCGTGTGCAGCTTTGGGGACCAGCTCGGTCATGAACGAGTTGCCCTCCGGGGCGGGGTACAGTATCTGAGGAGAGTTGTCATTCACATCAGATATAAAGACACTGACGGTCACGTTGCTGCTGAGCGGAGGAGAACCGTTGTCTCTGGCCATCACGTGGACTTTAAAACTCCTGAACTGTTCATAATCAAACGACCTCACAGCGTGGATCACCCCCGTGTCTCCGTTAACAGACAGATAGGAGGACACCGGGGCACTGTTCACCTCACCAGCTAACAGAGAATAAATCACTGTACCGTTTTGTCTCCAGTCGGGGTCTCGAGCAGTAACGGAACATAAAGTGGAGCCAGGTTTGTTATTTTCAGTCACATATGCGCTGTAGGACTCTTCCTCAAACACAGGTGGGTTGTCGTTGATGTCTGCTACAGATAACTGAACAGTTTTAGAGGAGGACAGAGGTGGAGAGCCCTCGTCAGTGGCAGTGATTGTAATGTTGTAATCAGACACTAGTTCACGGTCCAGTTGTCCTGTGGTCACCAGAGAATAATAGTTTTTAATAGAAGGAACCAACTTAAAAGGGAAGTTTTGTTGAATGGAGCAGCGGACCTGTCTGTTATTCTCAGAGTCTCTATCCTGTACATTAATGATGCCCACCTCTGTACCAGGTGGGGTGTCCTCTGGAATGGGATTTGTCAGTGATTTCAAATCGACTACAGGAGCGTTGTCATTCACGTCAGTGATAGAAATTATTGCTTTAGCATATGATGACAGTCCTAATCCATCTTTTGCTTTAACGCGTATTTCAAATGATGTGGTAGTTTCATAGTCAACTGTGCCTATTATTCGTATCGCCCCCACTTTACGGTCAATGCTAAATATCTTCTTCACATCCTCTGAAACATGTCCGAAGTCATATGTCACATCTCCATTGACTCCCTCGTCTACATCAGTTGCACTCACTGTGACCACCACAGTGTCTAAAGGAGAGTTTTCAGGCAGACTGGCTTTATAAACTGCCTGACTAAACACTGGGGCGTTATCATTAGCATCCAGCACAGTGACGTGTATGACTACAGTACCTGATCTCTGAGGAGAGCCACCATCTAAAGCTGTAAGGAGCAAATTGATCTCCTGTTGTTTTTCACGATCAAGCTCTTTATCAAGAACAAGCTCTATTGTGTTTCCATTAGAAGCCAAAATGAAATGTTCATTCTTTTTCAGGCTGTATTGTTGAACTGAATTTTGTCCTACATCCGCATCGTGCGCCTCCTCTATCACAAAACGAGCTCCCCTGACTGCAGACTCTTGAATTTCTATATTAATCGATTCTTCGTTAAATTGAGGGCGTTATCATTAATATCTTGAATGTGGAGACTAATCCGATGGAGCTCGAGAGGATTCTCCAGCACGAGCTCATGTTGTAGGATGCACGAAGCCTTTTCTCCACAAAGCCCCTCTCGGTCAATCCTGTCTGCAACAATCAATTCTCCGTTATTCAGGTTTATGTCACAGTAACGCTTCTCAGTCCCATCGGTGTCAATACGGGCTCTTCGGTTGGACAGCGCACCCGTCTTCAGCCCGAGATCCTTGGCAATATTTCCAATAACTGATCCTCGTTTCAACTCTTCAGGAAAAGAATAGCTCATGTCTCCATACGCGCCATGCAAAAAAAGAAGCAGGAAATAAAACCCGCATGTTTGAAACAGGATTATTTTTTCGAATCCATCATCAACGATGAGTTTCTAACCGGTTGAAGAATGAAGCGAACAAAGACAGTTCAAACACATAGCACGAATATCAGCTGCGATTCCGGGGGTAGTGTCCCTATCAAGACACAAGAGCACAATAATATGTGTCCACACCAGAGGATAGAGGAATTCAAACATCTTAAGGTTGGTGTATAGCGCCACCGTGAGTTAGATTAAACAAAAGACGCTGTTAAAAAATAAAAAAAGGAACAACTTCAAATTGACTGTAACCTGCGCTGCCTAAAACTACTGTTATGCATATAAAAATGTCACTGCAACTACTATGATGTATAAGCAATATGCATCAATAAAATCAATAATGTTTTGTTTTTAATCATGTGTTGTGTTACTGTGAGAATGCAGTCTTGGTTCTGTGCTGTATTTCTTCACACAGTGATTAGTCAGTTACTTGGCCTCATGTTCACCATAACATTACTGCATACACTTAATCTAGGTAAATAATGGTCGCAGGCAGGTATTTCCTGTGACCATCTGAGGTAACCTGATGCAGTGATCCCAGTATCTGTGTTTATTTTGTCCCCCTTCAGGATGTAATGCTAACTTGGTGTTCTGCATGAGTTCTGGATATATTGGGCATAAAATGTTGAGCTACTTGTAATGCCAAGACCAGCACCTTTTTGAACTGTTAGATTTCTTACTTCTACTGTTGTCCTGTTGATATGGTCTGATTATATCCTATATTGATGAAAGTGTGTGGGAAACTTAACTAAAAGCTACTGAAAATATATCATGTGTCCATCATGTTTCTTCTTCAAGTTTGGAGTAATCTACGCACCATATTAACTATGTCATTAGAGTAGATTCTCTCTCAGAGCTCTGTCTGTATAACAAGTTGCAATGACTTTTGGATTTCTGTTTTGAATTTTCTTTATTTGTTTCAGTCTGAACATACTGCAGGTAGTTTTATGTCCTTTGTGAAGTGAATGCATGTTTGTTAAATATACTAATGCTAATAGGTTTTCATTGAAATCCAGAAGGAGGGAAATATATTCAGCTTTGGCCTCCACTTGCTCTGATTCTTTTTATATTGTATATGAAAAACATTGCACGTATTTACATATTATAATTCAAATACATAAAAGACAAGCTCATAATATTGTAATAATGGGAATTCACGCACACTGCTCTTTCATTCAAGAGTAACTCATAATACCAAGAGGGACTGAGGGGGCAAAATGATAAGTTGATGGTCATATATAAATAAATGTCTTAAATGCAAGAACAGAGTGAGGGAATCACCCTTTGTCACAGGACACTTTAATCTGATCAATATAGTGACAAATTTTTGTTTCTTGCCTAAGGAAAAAAGGCCACTACCCTTAAAAACCACTTGTACTAAGTATACAAACGTGTAAAACACTGCAGAACTACAAATATTTTGGTGATTTAAGGTGATTACAATAATGTACCATGCAACATACAGTTAAAGATGGACTCAACAAGCCTTTGTCCTCCTGAAAAAGAGGAAAACAAAACAAACTACCTCCTACCATGATAGAATAGAGATACAGGATATAGTTTGTCATTGAGTATTAACAACACAAGAAATCAAGTAGACACCAAAATCACTGTAATAGAAAAACAATTTGGGTTACCTGATATTCAGTCAAGTTACAACTTCATCTACAACACAAGGCCAAGCCTGGATCTACGGATTGAAAACGCAGACTGAACAGGTCATTCCTTCAGAGTGTATCATTAAACCGAGCGGAAACACTGCAGAAATGTCCATTGGACTGCAATTAAAATTAAAATGTCTGTACTGTTTTAATTCTGCATTTGTATTATCTGTAGTTTACATTCACAGTGGCCTTGACCAGAGAGCAATCAGCTAGAACTCAAACAAAAGGAAGTCTGAACAAACACACCAGTTGATAAAGGTTAGTGGACTGGATTCAAATGTAAAGACCTACAGGTCATGCCATGCACCAACAGAACCAGCATTAGACAACTATCTATTTAGGGTTTCAGTCATTCAGCTTTTTAAGGTATAGAAATCAGTTTTCTGGAAATTATTGTGACATTAATACTGTGGCCATAAATGTAAGGCCAATGTATGTATTTACTTGTATTGATGTGGCAGACAGTCCATACCAGTGTGTAATTGAGATCCAAAACAAGCAGCAGTAGGTCAAGAAGAAGTCATCAAGAATAAAGAGTCACAAAGCTCAACCTGAATGTTCCTTCTGAGACAAATGGCACAGTAATGCAGGTATATGAATAAGAGTTAGATGCATGAGAATTTAGTTGTTATTTGTTTGATGTTTGTCTGGTTTTAAGAGGAGAGACAGAGAGAAATTTGCCTGCCAGAGACCTTTAGAGGAAGAGAAAATTAATATAAATGGCACACATACAATCTGCCGCAGGTCATCAGTGAAACTTACTCACACTGCAGCCTTTATGCTTCAGCTGATTAGGGATATAGCAGGTAATTTTAGGACAAACTTAGCAATGATTTGATTTAAGCACTGACATTAGATGTTTGTCAAATGTTATAATATATTACAATAGTGAAAAAGTAAAGATCAGAGTATTTGATAATGGTACAAGAACAATATTCTTTAAAAATGAACATTGACATGAACAATAAAACATACTTTATGCAAATCAAACACCAATAACACATCTACAAATGAATAATCAGCCCTGGCAAACTGACAGAAGATAAGACTAGAATTAGAAAAATAATAAGTTAGGACAAACACATATAAACTGTAAAAATAATTTGAACAAAGAAACATTCTGATGAATTGGACAAAAGATACAGTTTTCAAAACTCACTGCTACACTACTACACTGTGTCAGGGGGTGTATTGATATTTAAGAAAACTGAAACTAACAACACCTATCTAAAACTAAAAACAGACTGATGTCACATCTTGAGCAGTGTGAGTCATTGTTTAATCAAATTGATTTTGGAAACTAAAATAAAATGTTAAGAAAATGAAATAGTTTAACAAGATAGAGAAAAAGAGGCACAAAATGACACCACGACAACCAATGATTACGGACGAGGTGAGTGTAAAAAATGATCCAGCTATCAGCTATGCAATTAATTCAACATGTTTCTTTGATTTCCAATTAATCAATATAAATTAAACTCAAGTACGATTAGAAACGTGACAACTGACCAAGCTGCAGTTTTTGAGGCGTTGGGAATGAACGTGTTGCAAAAGAAGAGGTCAGGCGGCCTACATTAGTGATCCAGCACCAAAGGACAGCGAAACAATATGAACAGATGAAGGTTTGACTGCGTGTGTGTGAGATAAGGTATGAGAGAAAGAAAAAAAAAGTGTGAGTCAATGAGTAAGTGAGCGTGTGTGTGTGTGTGTGTGTGAGTGAGTGTGAGAGTGAGAGAGAGAATATTTGATTCACTACTGTGCCAAGACTGGGAAAAGGTGATATGAAACACGTGCCTACCTCAGGAGAACTATTACAGTCCCCCAAAGCCCAGCTCTACAAAGAGTCCACTTGGACTTTTCCTCAGAGTCTGGTCAGCAGGCAGTGTGTTGTCATTGTAAGATCGTCACGAACTTAAAGTCACTGGTTCTAGATCCTGTTGTCAGGTATGCGTCATAATTGTATAGCGCTACGTAAAGTTCCTGGCCCCGTCAACATCAACGTAATTAGGAGGAGATAAGCGCTGGGGATGGCAACTGCTCCATCAAACAACAGTCTGGACTTTCTCCTGCGACAAAATCTCACACCCAGAATGATGATGATGAAGGTCAGAAAAAAGGTGGACACAGAAACCAGCGCGATGATCAGATAAGAGGGTCAGTTTGGAATTCTTCTCATCATGAGAAATACTCCTTCAGTTCTGGCACCTCAGCCAAGTTATCAGAAATAAGTAAATAGCATGGAGCAGGTGGCAGAGAGGGCTGTCCGTTATCTTTCACTGACACAATAAGGTTCTGTTTCATGCTGTCTGATTCAGAAATGTCCCCTTTGTGTCCTGATCTCTCCGCTGTGAGATTAATAGTGAAAAGTCCCGGATCAATTGATTTGACTATATGATAGGACAGCCGGGCGTTCTGTCCGGAGTCCGCGTCCACCGCTATCACTTTGGACACCAGGGAGCCTCCGTGTGCAGCTTTGGGGACCAACTCGGTCATGAACGAGTTGCCCTCGGGGCGGGGTACAGTATCTGAGGGAGAGTTGTCATTCACATCAGATACTCGAAGACACTGACCGTCACGTTACTGCTGAGCGGAGAACCGTTGTCTCTGGCCATCCCGTGAACTTTAAAACTCCTGAACTGCTCATAATCAAACGACCTCACAGCGTGGATCACCCCGTGTCTCCGTTAACAGACGAATGGGAGGACACCGGGGCCCGTTCTCCTCACCAGCTAACAGAGAATAAATCACTGTACTGCGTTTTGCTCCAGTCGGGGTGTCGAGCGGTAACGGAACATAAAATTGGACCAGGTTTGTTATTTTCAGTCACATATGCGCTGTGGGTCTGTTCCTCAGAACTGGGGTGGGTTGTCGTTGATGCTCTGCTACAGATAACTGAACAGTTTTAGAGGGAGGACAGAGGTGGAGAGCCCTCGTCAGTGGCAGTGATTGTAATGTTGTAATCAGACACTAGTTCACGGTCCCGATTGACCAGTGGTCACCTGAGAATAATAGTTTTACATGGAAGGAACCAACTTAAAAGGGACGTTTTGCTGGATAAAGCAGCGGACCTGTCTGTTATTCTCAGAGTCTCTATCCTGTACATTAATCACGATGCCCACCTCTGTACCAAGGTGGGGTGTCCTCCAGTATGGGATTTGTCTAGTGATTTCAAATTGATTTTAGGAGCGTTGTCATTCACGTCAGTGATATGAAATTATTGCTTTAGCATATATTGAAAGTCCCTAATCCATCTTCTTTACTTTAACGCTTGTTTCAAATGATGTGGTAGTTTCGCAGTCAACTGTGCCAATTATTCGTATCTCCCCCCACTTTACGGTCAATGCTAAAATATCTTCTTTACATCATCAGTAATATGTCCAAATTCATAGGTTACATCTCCAGTGACTCCCTCATCTGCATCAGTTGCACTCTCTATGACCACCACAGTGTCCTGGAGAGTTTTCCAGGCAGACTGGCTTTATAAACGGCCCTGACTAAACACTGGGGCGTTATCATTGAGCATCCAGCACTGATGGACGTATGACTACATTACCTGATCTCTGGGGAGAGCCACCATCTAAAGCTGTAAGGCAGCAGATTGATCTCTTGTTGTTTTCACGATCAAGCTCTTTATCAAGAACAATCTCTATTGTTTCCATTGGAAGCCAAATGAAATGTTCATTCTTTTTTTTTCAGACTGTATTGTTGAACTGAATTTTGTCCTACATCCGCATCTTGCGCCTCCTCTATCACAAAATAGGCTCCCCTGTCTGCAGACTCTCCTAATTTCTATATTAATCGATTCTTCCTTAAATTGAGGGCGTTATCGTTAATATATCTTAGAATGTGGAGACTAATCCGATGGGCTCGAGAGGATTCTCCAGCACCGGAGCTCATGTTTTTGGGATGCGCGAAGCCTTTTCTCCCACAAAGCCCCTCTCGGTCAATCCTGTCTGCAACAATCAGTTCTCCGTTAATTAGGTTTATGTCGCATTAACGCTTCTCAGTCCCCATCGGTGTCAATACAGGCTCTTCGGTTAGCAATAGCTCCCGTCTCCAGTCCGAGATCATAGCTCTCTTCCAGCAACTGATCCTCGTTTCATCTCCTCGGGAAAAGAACAGCTCATGTCTCCATTAGGCGCAGGGCAAAAAAGAAGCAGGGAATAGAAACTGAGCGGCGCAAACGCGATCATTTTGGGATCCGTCATTAACGTTGAGGTCCTAAGAACGTTAAATAATCGACGCAACACTCACAGTTCAACCACAAAACACGTTGAGAAACAGCAAATCAGCGTGAGTGTGTCTGTCTAGACCCCGTAATGGGCGTACAAGAACGTCGGTCCCACAAGGATAGAGGAATTAAACCAATTTAAGGCTGGTGTATGGCGACACCGTGGGTTAAGTTCCAACAATAACACTTTCCTTTTAAAAGCAAAATGAACCGTCTTAGGACTGTTTTTGCCTACATAACCATGTCCACTATTCCTCTAAGAAAACATAAGATAGATTTATTCAAAGTTTACAATATTTGGAACTACAGTGACCCACAATTCCAAACTTAGACACTTGTACAACAGGTAATTCGGTGCACATCCTAGACTGATTCACATCTTGGACAAAACCCTGGACTTTTCAAGCCTGAGCTTTTTTTTTCAGAAAGCTACATGCCAAAACCAGTCTTGTAAAAGAGTGCAAGGCATTAAATAACAACTAGTGAGGAAAGTAATCTTTGTCAGACAGAAAATAGCACTAGTTTCCTTCATGCACAGGAGCTTTAAATAGATAATAATAATCAGATAATCCTCTAAAATGTTATCAGATAGACAGTTATGCAAAAAGTAGACCAGGCTCCTGTCCATATTCACTATATGTGGTCTGGCAAAATACCCAAAACCAACATTTTGTCACCATGGGCACATCAGGAAGGTGTGAAGCCCTGGACTTTTTAATAGTTATTTTGTATTGCTTGAATTTGGCTACATACTGAGTTAACATTCTGGCACAGAGACATTGAGATGTATTTCTGTATATGTATTCTATTTAAAAATAGCTCCCAGTATGAATGTAGTGTAGCACATGCATGACTGCAGTGAGCCGGCTAATTGCTACCTGAAAACATCTATTTTGCAGGTTTACAAGTTATATTAAAATCACTGTTACCATTTATCACCAGACTGTACAGGTTTGGTATACTGAACACTTTGTCTACTGTGGGATTAGGATAGGTACCTTCCCATTCAGTGCCCTGGTTTTATTCCATCACATTATTGGAACTGATACATTTTGTTCTGATTCTTTGTATTGGCTGCATTCCTATATTAAGATATAGCCATATAGTTTTAATGTCATGTATTGTAATGAAGAGTTTTAAAGCTGAAAAGACAGAATAACTGAAAGATATATTAACTAAATCCATGTCCTATATGCTCTAGAAATACTGTTGTCACCCAGTTCTAACTACATCCCAGTAGAAAACAGGACTATGTGGATTAATCTTGGCCTATTGTCTACAATGAGCTTACAATTTTGTGGTGACAAATGTGTCATTACTCAAGTTCTTGAAAGAATGAGGAGGCATGCATTATGTCGATGAATACGGAAAAAGTGTTTCAATTAAGGCAGACAACAGTTTCTATTACTACATTATCTTAGTACAACGAACTGAAAACAACAGAAAGAACTCTCGATGCAAAAACCCCAAAGAAGTCAGTGTTTGCGGTGCAGGAAACACCAGTCTTGACACTTACCTACACCACTATACACGAACTAAGGATTACACTGCTTTGTACTGCAAGCCTAAGTAATATTGTGTGACAATTTTCTGTAAGTTATTGCCGTTATTTCATCTTACTATCCACTTTGTGATGAGCAGGAAAAATGGCCCAGCCTACACCTCACAGCAATATCTTTCTTCCTAATCCAAAAATGGACAAAAAGCCAACAAATCTCTGCCCTAAAAAGCCACAAAATACAGGCGAAAGAATAGGTAAACAATATGCTCCAAAAACACAACTAAAAAGATGGTCTACTTACTGTAGCCAAACATCTTCATAGCAGTAAAATCAGAGCTTACACGGGAGGTTTGGGATAATGGCACTTGAGATATCTCATTGGAACGAAGTGACTTTACAGTTGAAACTGACTAAATACATATCATATAAAAACAACTCATTATTTTCTCACAATTAAACTCCATCTCAAAATGTGGTTGAATCTGACAGCAATAAACAAAACAACACTTGAACTAATTTAGCACACATGATAATGAAGAAGAAGTTGACTGGCTTTAAATGCAACAACCTACATTCTTCAGGCAGCCTTCCAAAAGTCGTGTCCACACCTGTTTTTGTATTTGAGTCCAATAACATTCTGTGGAGGTTTTCAGTCATCCTGTTCTTGAGATACATAAGGCAGGCTGCTGTGAACACCATAATAATATGTCTCTCAGCTGCTATAGAAACGATCCAGTGCTTGTTAAAATATTTAGCTACCAAATTCCAGCAATTGTAAATGACATATGGTGGCAAAGATGGCCACAGACATAATTTCCTCTTCTTAATGATGTGTGACTATGAGACATTCTCGTATTGACAGTCACTATACTGATGCTGATTACTGATTACATTGCACACTGTCACTGCCGCTATAGATATTATTTTTGCATTGATAATAAAACAA